AATTGCTGCTTTAATTCATTAAATTCTGAAATAATTTACAATACAACAATCACTAAATGATACCTATTATGAAAAATTCAAGTTTATCACAGTTGCAATTGATTTGAAAGCCTTCAAAATTAATCATTTTAAGTAAGACTTTCCATCAACATTCTACACTTACATGGGTTAGAAGAATTAAGAAACTCTAACTGCACCACCCAGTAAGCGTCAAACCACTATTTATGTGTGAAAAACACTAATGTGCTCTTAATATAATGGAAGCATGAGGAGATATGCCCACCTACAACTCAAAATTCATGTCTTATTTGAGTTGTATTCGTTCTCCCTAAAATCCTATGCTGATGTCTTCAACACTTGTACCTGACATGTGATTGTTTATGGAGATACAATCTATCCTAGAGGAATGAAGTTCAACTGTATTCATTAGGATGCCCCCTAATCCAAAATGACCTGTAGCCATGTAAAAAAAGGAAATATGGACACAGAGATTCACACATAGGAAGGAAACTGAACAAATGTAGGGGTCTCTTTGCCACTTTGACAAGAAAGGGTGAGAAGACTGGAACAGACGCTTTCTTCATACCACTCTGAAGGAACCAAATCAGCTGTCATCTTGATTTCGACTTCTCACCTCCAGAAATATGAGACCTTAAGTATGTGCAGTTCAAGTAATCCAATCTCAAGGATTTTGTACATTAGCCCAGGTAACTAATATGATACTATTAAATCACCACAATTAGAATCATTCAAGCAATTCAGCAAAGACAGTGCAGGCAAAGAATGGCACCAGATACCATCCCTGTTACCAAAGCTGAACATTCTGGAAGGCATGTACTCCATGGACATGGGAAAACTAGCTTGAACTTCAGACAATGAACATTTTGAACAATGGCTGTGGCTCACTCAAGCTGGTCCCTGATTGGCTAATTCAGAGCAGAGTGGCTGTTGCACTTCTCTGACTGGACGTCCCATCATCAGAGGGGAATATCACTAAGGTTATCATTTTCAAAACTTGAAAAGTTAAGCCTGGACAAGAAAAGAAACAGTTACCTGAACAAGTTAGACTAGACCATTCAGTTAGAAGATTAAGAATTTTCTGAGTAGATTAGAATCTGTAATAATTTTTTTCCTTAAAATGATTCAGTTATTCATTCACTGTTTTTGAATCACTGTTTTTAAATGGATTCCATAACAGAGGTAATGGAGGAAAGAGTTTTAACCTATGTTTGACCTATGGATACTATTTTCCATGCATTGATGATTGTAATTTGTTGATTAAGTAGTGAAGGTTTTCCCTCATTTCCTCTTCACAGTAAACTACACCATCAGATCGCGCTTGGGCACTAGCTGCCCTTCTTTCCAAAAGGGTCCAGTAAAATATAAAATCAGGATCGCTACTCCCCCTCCCATCTTCAACAATAACAAAATTCCAATTTTCTTCTTTTCTTTCTAGATTTCTTATGTGTTGTCCTCCCTTACTCTCCCAGTCTTCACTCTCTAGGCCAATTATGCTGCATCTGTAACATCTTTCAACAGTGATCCTATTGCACTTCTGTATTTACACACACAAAATACACAAAGCACAATAGCAGTGTCTTAGTGTATTAGATCTCTCAGAATTACTTTTTTCAGCGACCATACCTTTGGGACCAGTATGCAAAAATAACCTTGGTAATGCATTTCTGATTCATAGGAAGAAAAACTGATGTTTTGAAGCAGCAACTATTACCAACATAGACATTAAGTGATTTTCTGAAGTCACTCTTTTCAAATGGCTCACATTTGTTTCTCAGAAAAGGCACCTGTCTCTGCACATAGTTTCCACTTTGGAGGTTTTTTCCAGTGGATTTAACAATTTCTAATTGCTACACAAAGTAAAGCATGCACTGGATTTCGTGGTTGATTTTAACAATAGGTTGCTCTTTTTTTTTTCTTGATAATCCTTCATTTTAATTTTCAACATTACAGAATAGTAAGAAATGAACTTCTTGAGGGGGCTTATTTGCCTAAATTATTTTATTATTGATCTCAAAGAAAAGTCTGGAGGTAATTCTGGCCCCATTCATACTTGCAATAGTCCATTAACACTCTCTAGTATCAAATCCTGCCCTCATTTTACTCTTCAGCAAGTGGTGCTATGTATGAAGTATAACAATTTAGTTTTGGTCTCTGTGAAGAATGAGCACTGGAATCTTTGAATTTTGTCATCTATAGAGCTATTATCTCATTCTTTGCATAACAGAGACATCCACAACATGGTTCATCATCCTAGTCAAAAGGGTTATTTACAGATTATTTTAAATGCTCAAATGAAATATTTCACAATAAGATGAAACAATGAGCTTCAAAGCAAATCATAATAAATTTTAAAGGATTGAAATCCCACTGAATGTTCTCTCTCAACAGATGTCATAAGTTAGAAACTTGTTTATCAAGGAAACTAATAGAAAATTAGCAACATCTTTAAAATTCATCACTACACATATAGGAAGTTTACACAAGTGAAAATCAAATAAAAATCCTCCTGGACCACAAAGAAAAAAGAATGTACAAGCAAAGCCATGAACTTTAACATGAAGCTGAACAGTCAAACATCTAGAGGTAAAAGGAAATGCTGCAGGTTTTATATTGCTGATAATTCTCCTCTACATTGCTCTAAGGGCCTGAAGACGTGACCCGCTCTGGATTCATGTCCTTAAATCTCCATAACTAAATATAAATAAAGAACCAAAAAAGAACTGGCACAGTACCACAGTTCCTTCCCCATTAACCTCCAGTCTGATTTCCATAAAAAGGCTATTATCTCTTGAGCTCTGGTCACTCAACCACACTTTGAGTCAACAGCTGTGGCTCACAGGCTGCCAGTCCCCCATTGGCTGTACCAGTGGAGATAGATGCTTGAAATGCTTTCTCTGGACTCTCTCTGATGTATATAAAATTGCAGGTCATGAAAGTTTGTGTTTTAAAGATCAAAAGGTTCTCCTCTAGAAAATAACTGATTAGATACATCTGTATGAATTTCTAAAACAATTTCAAAAACCAGAGAATTAGAAAATTGAAATGTGTGTGAAAATTTTGTTTTGCCATTTTTGTACTATATATCAGTCTCCACTTATATATTTAAGTGTTTGGTCTACTGGGATATGTTGAAAACAAATAAATAAACTGGGATATGTGGGACAAGTATACTAGAAGTAGTGTATGGGTATATCAGTTTCTTCACTTTATCTATTGCATATCACACATAAAATGCTTCTGAAGAATTCCATAATACACATTGGGAGAAGGAGAATAAAATGGAAAATTAAAATGCTACAAAAATAATTTAGAACCTATAGAACTCTATCATGAAAGACCTAAAGAAGACACTATAACTGGGATCAATGAAAGGTTGGAATTTTGTATTTCCTCCTAGCTTTTGTCTCATTGTTTTGCTGAGAGTGACATCCTTCACAGATTTCCACATCCAAATCCTGTTGTACTGGTAAGTTTGTTTTAACTTTAAAATTTTTATAGACGTATGTGAATTACAATATTCTATTTGTTCAGGTTTACAACTTGGTGATTCAATTGTTTTATATATTATACTCTGTTTACATTTATTAACAGATAATTGCTATAATTCTTTGTGCTGTACAGCATATATTTGTTGCTTATTTTAAAGTTCAAAATGAGTAGTATAAAATAAAATGAAATATTAAGTTCTAATGAAAACCATAGTAAATTACAAAGAACTGAAATTGTGGAGTTCTTTATCTCTCTCCAACGATGTAGTAAGCTTGAAATCAATCTTTAAAAAAGGAATAGGAAAATCGCCAACTTCTCTGAGATTCAGCAATATACCTATAGAAAAAAATGTCAATGCAACCAAGAAGAAAACACAATGGACATTAAATTCAGTAAATATTCTCTAAAGCATTAGCAGTCAAATACTTGAGGTAGAAGAAGGAGTCATCTTATTTCTCTTAATTGCTGAACATCCTCCTCTTATACTGATGCAAAGAACTAGAGACATGTCCCACAACAAGAAATGGATGTATCTGTGTGTGCTAAGTATCTTGAGTCATATGGGACTCTTTGCGACCCCATGGACTGTAGCCAACTAGGGTCCTCTGTCCATGGGGTTTGTCCATGCAAGAATACTGGAATGAGTTTCCATGCCCTCCTCCAGGGAACCTTCTCCAGCTAGGGATCAAACCTGGGGCTCCTGTGTCCCCTGCATTGCAGGCAGTTTTTTTTTTTTTTTTACCACTGATGCCAACTGTGAAGCCCTAAGAAATGGATGCCCGCATGCTAGGTTGTTTGGGTCATTTCTGACTCTTTCAGACCCTATGAACTTTAGCCCACCAGGCTCCTCTGTCCATGGGATTCTCACAATGTTGTAAAGTAAAATTAATTAATTAATTAATTAAAAAACAGCAGCAACAGCAACAAAAAAGAATACTCGAGTGGGTTGCCATGCCCTCTTCCAGGGGGTCTCTCTGACCCAGGGATAGAACCTGCCATTCCTGCAACTCCTGCATTGTAGGCAGATTCTTTACCGCTGAGCCACCCGGGAGGCACACACTGCTCTTTATCGGTTGCTATACCCCATATAAAAATATCTGGATGATACCTAAATATAGGTGGGAAATGAAAATGAAAAAGGCCAATGAAACTTTTAGGGAAAGAATTTTGACCATAAAGATCCCTAAAATTGCTGACTGAGGAACCATGAATAGAAATAACCATTTAGGAAAGTGACGAGTTGCAATACGTTAAGAAAAATGTACACGATTTTCCATTGAACAAATGACACAACCGACGCTTATTGAAGCAAACTTGATGAGGTTTTTAATGTTTTCCTTGGGGTGGAAATGTTTTAAAGATGGAAAGTAGGGCATATGTAAAGAACCCAGAGTGGATGGATATGGCTTCTTATCGCTACAGGTCTTTTCCCTTCAAGTGGTTAGGATAAGAGTCTTTGGTTTGCGATGTTGAAGTGGTCATGAGGCAGTTCATCTGCGGGTGTTGTATCTGATGACTGACTTGGTGGCCTTGGACACTGCGTACTTGCCGATCTCCCCAGGCAAGAGAAGATGCACAGCTGTCTGGATCTCTCCACTCGTGATAGTGCAGTGCTTGTTGGAGCAGGCCAGGTGCCTGGCCTCTCCAGCTATCTGCTCAAACATATCCTTCACGAACGAATCCATGACGTTCACGACCTCATGGGAGAGGCTCAGGCCTGTGTGCACTTGCCTCAGTACCCTGGGGAAATAGGTGGCGAACCTTGCAAAGTTGTTTGGACAGCAGCGGCAGCGGCAGCGGCAGCGGTGGCGGTGGCGGTGGCCCTTAGCTGTCTTTTGTTTCGCCTTCTTTGGCTCGGCATCATAGGGCTCCGGTTCAGAGGGCTCCATTTCTGAGGTCTCTGTTCCAGAGGGCTCCGTTTCAGAGGGCTCTACTTTGGAGGTCCCGGTTTTGTTGGTGCCCAGGTCTTCCTCAGAGTTGTCAGAGGATGGTTGAGCCATGTCGGAGCCACCAGTCCCCACTACTCAGAAGGAAGGACAATGAAGGCAGTTGGCGGGGTTTATAAGCCCTGCTTTCCCTGAAGTCACAAACACTGTCCATATCTGATTGGATAAAATGCAAGGTAAAAGGCCTGTTACTATAGCAGCCTATGTCATGTGACACTGGATGCTCCACCCCCAACTCCCACCGCCCCTCCTTCACGTTTAACCACGCAGTCAGTCAAACTCAGTAGTATCTTTAAACTTACCATGACTTCCACCAGAAAAATCTTTGAACTCTACCCCGTGAAGGAGACAGTCATCTGTTCACCTCAGCTGATTTATGTCTACTATTGATGCATGAGAAGTTTGAAAGATGTCACCAAAGTCATTGAAGTTGAAAAATGTAATAATCAGTTAAAGCTTCCTGAGAGAGTCTGACTGGCTTCCATAACTCAAGCTCTTTCAGACATTAGAGTGACTCAGGTCCCTTGGTGGACATTTTACTGCAACACAGAATCTTTTCCTTCTGATTGACCTACAGTGCCAGGAGCAAAAACTCTTGACTTCCTCAGCAGAGTGCTCCTGAAAAATCATAGGAATTAATTGATCAGCTATTATCTCCAAAACTTATCAAAACTAGTAATCACTATGAAGAAAATGACAAAATCCAATTCTCCAAATACAGAACACAAACAGAAATAGGAATACTTACTAAAAATATTTAACATTTGCAAATTTTAAATTGTTTTTTTAAACATTATTCAGGTCCCCCAAATACCACACAATCTGGAATTGATTAATGATTTATAGTGGTTATTTCTCAGAAAATGATCACTTTTATTGCTGAAAAACCACCAGGGTGAGAGAAAAAGAATTAAAGAAGAGAGAAATAAAACACCTAGGCATAAATGTACCTAAAGTGGTGAAAGACCTGTACTTAGAAAGAATAAGACCCTGATCAAAGAAATTGAAGATAATGCAAACAGAGGGAAAGGTCCACCTTGTTTATGGACTGGAAGAATTGATATTGTTAAAACAACCATGCTATCAAAGGCAATCCACATAGTCAGTGCAATTCCTATGAAAATACCAGGGCATTTTCCACAGAACTAAAACAAACAATCTTAAATTTTGTATGGAAAGATGAAAGACCCTGAATCACCAAAACAATCTTAAGGAAGAAGACCAGAACTAGAGGAATCGGGTTCCCTGATTTCGGACTATAACAGAAAACTACAGTAATCAAGTCAGTGTAGTACTGGCACAAAAATAGACACATGGATCTGTGGAACAGGAGAGCCCAGAAATAAACCTATGGGCAGTTCAGTTCAGTTCAGTCTCTCAGTCGTGTATGACTCGTTGTGACCCCATGGACTGCAGCATGCCAGGCTTCCTTGTCCATCACCAACTCTCAGAGCTTACTCAAACTCATGTCCATCAAGTCAGTGATGCCATCCAACCATTTCATCCTCTGTCATCCCTTTCTCTCTCACCTTCAATCTTTCCAAGCATCAGGGTCTTTTCCAAGGAGTCAGTTCTTCACATCATGTCACAAAGTATTGGAGTTTCAACTTCAGCATCAGTCCTTCCAATGAATATTCAGGACTGATTTCCTTTAGGATTGACTGGTTGGATCCCCTTGCAGTCCATGATCAATTAATCTACAATTAAAAAAAGCAAGAATGTACAAATGGAGAGAAAACACTCTCTTCAATAAGTGGTGCTGGGATAATTGGATAGCTACATGCAATAAAGTAAAATTAGAACATTCTCTAACAGCGTATACAAAAATAAACTCAAAATGGACTAAAGACCTAAATATAATACATATATTGTGTAGGAAGTAATTTTAAGGAACAGAATCCATTAGATATTTTAATGACCTGTGTTTCTTTCACATTTGTAAATTCAGAAATTAAATGAACACATCAGTTATAAAAAAAAAACATTAAAAATAGCCACAATTGGGTTTTGAAGGGATAACTGGGACTTCAAAAGTCTCTGATACACAGGAAATCTAGGATGGAGAAGGGAAAAGCAGAGTTGAAGACTGGAAGGAGGAGTAACGCTAGTAATTATTCACTTCAGTTGATGATTGAGGAAATAAAAGAGCCTAGTGAGCAATCACTTTGCAATGTTGTGGTTCACTGTAAAGGCAAAATAAGGCAAATGGCTTGACAGCTTAAATAGCAATTGCTGGTCTCAACTCACGAATGACGATGTTGATAGAATAGGCATACTCCATTCAGAAACCTTCTCAACATTACCATTGTTTATGGATTCACATAAAAAGAGGACTCCCACACAGCATAGAAGTTAAGTGCAACAGAAAATTTAGGAAACAAAATCATTTCACACTTCCTAGAATCACAAGTTTCTACCCTAACTCGTTCAGATGATCTAATGTCATTCTTTTCAGCCCTCATTCTCTTGTTTTTGAAGTGGAAAACCTTCATGATTTGCAACTTAACATCATAGGAAAGGTGAGAGCATTCATTCAGTCAGAGAAGCTGAAAAGTTCATGTTGACTCCATGTCAGCCAAGGAGGGACTCAAATGGGCAGCCACAGTCACTGAACCACTCTACAGTGAGGTTTTCCTGACTGAACCAATAACTGTCTTCCTGGGGTGTTCAGGTCTGGTGACAGCAGGTAACAAGTATGATTATTTATCTACTTTGACAGTACAGCAACATGCATGATTATCTACTTTATAGTTGGTTTTATAAAACTAATCAAGGTCATTTATATAGTATATAAGTATTAGGAAATGGCCTGGTAGTAAAGAATCCACTTCAATGCAGGAGACCTAGGTTCAATCCCTGGGTCTGGAAGATTCACTGGAGTAGGTAATGGAAACCCACTCCAGTATTCTAGACTGGAAAATTCCATGGACAGAGGAGCCTGGTAGGCTACAATCCATGGAGTCACAAAGAGTCGGACACGACTGAGCGATTAACACTTTCAACACTTTCTCAAGTATTCTAGAGCTCCTGTACAAAATGCTAGTGATTGGGTCACTTAAACAACATTCGTTTATTGTCTCATACTTGTGGAGGCTCTAAGTCCAAATCAAGGTTTCATCTGAGTTGATCTTATGCAAGGTATGAAGCCTCTCCTTGGCTTGCAGATAACTGAAATTCCCCTATGCCTGTCCACGTTTTCTTCCCTATGTGTATGTGTCTATGTCTGATTTTCCCTTATTATATGGATATAACTCATTTAGATTAAGACCTACTCTAATGAACATATTTGAATTTGTTTACTTGGTAAATACTCATCTCCAAATATGATCACATAAGAATATGAGTGTTTATGGCATAGGTACATTAATTTTAGAAGCACAAATTCAACCCATAGGAGATATGTATTTTGAACTAAACTTGGGAATATTTCCTGCTTCTTCCATTTCATTAAGAGAACACTGGTGACTACTTATGAGAAACAAGGTGGCCCCACCACAGTCATTTTCACAATTCTGTGAATGTTCAGTAATTTCATTTCAGTATTTCATTTCTTTTTCTCTCTGTGAGCGAGAAGACAGTGTGTCATTTCCATTGTTACAAAGTATTCTTTACACCTATAGTTGTAATTATTTCCTATTGTGTAGGATATAAGAACTTGTAAATACACAACTCTCAGCCAAACATTGAGATGAAATCTTGATAATCCAAGAAATCAAACTTTTCCTGAGCCTTTCAGGAAAAGGACAGGGCTCTACAGGACAGAAAAAACAAAAGACTTTCTTTAAACTGGCAGAACCTCATGAGATAAAGAAGAGAGCCTCCCTGAGTAGTACAGGTATGAAGTGGACAGTGCCTTTTCAAGAATGGGAAATGAAGATGTGTATCTTTTGGTCCAATATAGAAGAATTCTGATGGGCTATTATACCTCCAGGGCTTTCTCTGGTCACTGCAGTAAATATTTAGGAAATTTGAGTCCAATTATCAAGAATATTATTTAGCATTTTGTGGAAAATTAGAGAAACCTTATGACAGAACTTCTAAAAAATAATATGATTCCCAAGGAGACCAGGAAAATCTTCCACCAAAGCAATGGCAAGAAAATATCTCTAGGTGGGACCTTGAGATGATTGTAGACAACTTGAATATAATTTTGGAAATGAAAAGCTCATTTCAGAGCCATTGCATTTTTGAAAAGAGAACTGTGGACCCATAGGAATTAGACATTATTTCACAGAATAATTTCACTTCTATTGTGCTCATTGTTGCTGCTTTCAATATCCCAGTGTCCAATATCCCATCCCATATAACATACAAATGTTTTTCCAGTCGATTCTTGTACATTGTTATTATGTGAGAATTCCTGTCAGCAAACCTAACCCACTAGCATGTTTTTATTGGGCTAGGTGTGTTTTACATTTAGTGAATCCAATAATCAAATACAGGGATTAGGAAACCAGTTTTACAACTGCATCATGTAGTCCATGAAGACAGAAGTGCATGGGTGAATGACACTTGACACCTAGGAAGGAGGGAGAGAAATGGGGTTCAATGCTGAAGACCAAGAGGGGAAATGAGCATATATAATTGCTCAATTCAGAGGGTGATTGAAGAAAACAGGCACCTAAAGAATAATCATGACCTAATGGTGTTGGCTACTGCAAGCACAAATTAGGACAAGGGTTTTACTGCTTAAATAACAAACTATAAGTTTCAACACTAGGGAAATAGTTCAAATGTTTTTCAACATAATCTGTATGATAGAATTTATTGTAAAACATAAACGAGAGCTGAAATTTGTTCAGTTCAAACTATTGCAGAAATTACTGCAGTATTCCTCTATGCAGAGGCATTGTGAAATTCATCAATCTTTGAGAAGTGAAGATAAGCAGAAGTCATATAGCGTGGTAGGTCTGATGCTTGAGCAGGTATTTTGTCATGCACCTGAGGGAAATTTGTTTTAAGTAGGAGTAATATGCAAGTTTACTGTGCTTATTGAGGTAAATAGACTGGTTTATGTAATATATCTGTGTAATATAACTGTCTGAAAACTCGAG